TATAAGCTGGATTTGGGCTGATTCGGGGTAGTGTAGTGTAAAAAAACAAACAAATGATTGTGGCTCTTTATAGAATGGTGTGCTATTCAGCAAATTCAGGTAAAAGTGATGTTGTTCTACATCAACATGCGATCGCCTTAAGATGTTTATTTGTTTTGTGTGTCATGGCAAACAATGACAAAACGTGAATGTCAGCGGATGAGGCGAAGGATGTGGAATGAGCAGCAACCGACTCATGTCCTGCCCTCCCTGACTGCTGTTTAGCTGTAGGTTATTTTCTGTCCCTGCCACTCATGACTTATGGTTACTATTAAATTTAATTGAGACCGACAGTAAATCACAATTACCCATGCAGGACACTTTGAAATTGTTCGACAAAACTCAGCCAGCAGTAAACACTCAATAGTACACACTGTTTACATTTAGCAGTGTTTTTGCAGCTACCTCGTAATCTAGTCGTGTTGTTTACAAGTCTTATTTCCCCCCCCAAAAAAAGGAGAATAAAACATTGACTGATATAAATCTATGAATACAAAAATCTAAGTAAAATAAGAGAAAACTCTGAAGTTGCTCTCCATGTGGGATCTGCTGTTTGAACCAAAGTAAGGCCTGGAATAAAACCTCATCCAAACAACCTGAAGAGGAGATATTTTAGGATAGAAAAAAGCTCCCTGTCCCTGATTTTATATTCTATAGGTTATAAAGCAAGTCTTTAAAGTAATAGTGTAACGCTTTGAGGAGGGGATATATTGCTTTCTGGCTAAAGATAAAACATGCTATCAGTGTAAACCGTGAGGTATTAGAATAGAGAAAATGGAAAAATATATATCTCACTAAACTATACTTTCTTTCATCTACACGAAAATGTCAAGTTGTTCTAATCACAGTAGATCTAAGACAATGACACTCTTGGATGTAATCTTAAACAAAATCATAAAGAAACAAACTGAAAAAAAAACTATTACATCCTACAAAATTTAAGTAGTGAGCACAGCAACAACCATTTCTGCAGAACTTCCTTGTTGCTTGACTTATCACTGTTAAGATTACCATTGTTAAGATCTAATCCTGGTGCTGGTGAAAGTTGTTTGACATCCATAAAAAATAAAACCCTGAAAATAACCAAAGAAGAATGACCAAGCAGGCCAAGTTCTCTGTTTACATGAAGAGAATACAAAAAGTGTACTCTTGGGTTAAGCTATCCTATGAATATTTGTCCCCATCAATCATAAACTTTGGCACTTTTTTTGATAAATGTTTATTCAATCTTATTTGAAAAGTTATAATGATGATTTAAGGATAATAACTTTAATGATGGTATGAAATAATAATCATTCAAATCACTTTTTTTCATCAAGAGGTAATCTCAGATTTTTTTAAGATAAAGGGAAGCAAAAAGATTTTAATCTACCATAATTATATGAATCAAAATCAACATAAAGTTTTGATAATTTACCATACTCAAAATATAAGAAATAAAAATCTAAAACTAAAGTATATTTGACTGGGATGATGAAGATTTCACAGTGAATAACAGCTTCTGTTTCATTACTGCGGCATCCAGCTAAGAGGCATGGACACTTATGAATACATCACACATGGGCGATAACATTAATGGTGTCCAATTAATGTTTGTTCATTGCAATGTAATTGTGAGATTCACTGCTTTAATTAAACGAAAATATCATCTCAACGCCAGATTGTGTTATTCATGATGGCAAAGCAAACGGATAAAACCTCTGAGCTATGACCAAACACCCTGCACTATCTCTGAGCAGAAAAATTCAAATTTCAGTTCACGTGTCATTATGTACAGTGTACAGAGAGGAGAATTATGTTTCCATTCTTTATTGTGTCAGTTCCAGATGAGATGAGAGTTGTTAAGGGGGAATCGAACATGTTTTCATTATGCTTGTCATGAGCCCCAGGACATTTTAGTTTCTCTTTGTGAACATGAACTACTGTACCAAACAGATACATACTGAGGGGAAAGGGATCCTCGCACATATAAAACAGGTTTTCACGTCAAATAGAAATTATTTGCAGGTTTGATTTGGATTGCTGAAATCAGGCGGCTGTCTTAGTCCTCTAGAATTTTTGCCTCAGACATGAAAATATGCCAACTAACACCTTAATTTCCTCATTCTGAATGCTGTCATCTGGATTTTAACAACGTCATTTTCAAATCTTTGTGGTCTGACAGGTGTTGAGGGGTTTGTGCACCTAATTTTGTGAGAAAGTAAGGACATAAAGCTTCTCCTGCTTAAGATCATTTTACATTTGAAAAGTAATCAACAGCGCTTTGCAAGTTTCTAAAAGTTGCGTATGCATCACAGACGCATGTGAAAGTCTGCTAATGAATGTCACATTAGCCCCTTTGAAAAAGCTCTGATTCAATGTCACTAGTATTCGTAAGAATGAAAACACAAATTTGAGAGGGTGTCATGTGTTCTTTGACATAATCCCCAAAAGGGTGCAAAATAGTTCCCCTTAGTCTTCATTGCAGCAGTTAAATCTTGCTTAAGATTTGAAAAAATGAAAAAAGTTATTGCACAAAATAACGCCATACAGTAAAATCATGTCTGTTTTCAAATGCACAATTATGTGCAAGACACATAACATTCATAAAATTAAAAGGACGCTATCACAACATATCTGTCAAGAAGAAAACAGAGTTACAAACTAAATTCCAGTATCAACTTCTACTGCATTAAATTAAAGAAAGTCCCCATTGGCTTCATCTTCGCTGGAGCTTCTGTAAAGTTGTAGTTCCATGAGTTTCTGTTCTTACAGAAGCTTTCTTGCCGAGGTCTGTTCAAGCTTTGAGAACAGTTGAGGAGTCAGGGGACCTTTAACTTCAAACAAGCTTTGCATTTGAGCTTAATATGAATTCAAATCTCTAAGTTGGGGGAATAGTTCAGTGAGCAGGAATAGAAGATAAGATGACGGTTGGACTTCCAGTTCCTGTGTTTAATTCACAGTGTATAAACACAGCTCCTCCGTGTTTAAATAAAATCAGTCTTCAAGAAAACGTTTTTTTAAATCAAGATAACATTAACAATACAAACTCCCTGAAGGATGAGGATGAGAATAAAATGAATATTTCTTTTGTACGTTTAAAGAGCTGATTCCTATTGACACCTCAAAATGGGAGATGCATCGCATAGTGTCTAACTGATCTGCTCTGTGATAAATACTGGATTAAAGTAGTTCACTGAAAGTTATCACACTCCTTTAGTTTTCGTGAACAAGCCCACTGTATACCAGGAACCCATCCACAGCGTTATATAATCCCTCACCTTGAGAGGCTGTAGACTCTATCGCAAAGTATTGTTTCACATTTCTACGTCATGTTGTCTGACCTGATTCAATTATATTGTTTCGAGTGTTTATTACTGCACTCATCCTTTATAAAGAACGCGGACACAAGTTGCACATTTCAATACAGTCACAGTCCTCTTGTGAAGCCTATTATCAAAGGTCAGGTTGGTTTTGGAACAGGCCGGCTGCTGTCTGCTGCGTCACAAACTTCTGATGATTTTTTTCTTTCTTTATAAACCCGAGGCTCCTGAAGAGAACAAATGTACATCCTGTGCAATATGCATCCACTGTATATGCAGAACAGTCAAAAGTGCGTCACAGTGTCAGTCACCTCGTTGTTTCAGTGGAGGCACACACACCCTATCTTTATCTGAATATTACATTTACATGATTTTACATCACCTTTCACCATCCTGCTAAGTTATGATGATAATTCCAACGCCAGTATTTACAAATTAAACTTGGACTTCCCTGGACTTCATGAAGGCTCAGTGAAGAAATACGTCTCTGGCAAAATATTCCTAATGCATAACTGTGGGATATTGAGCAAACTGCTTAGAATTCTGCTGCTTTCAACAGGCACAGCATGTGGCTTTCACACAAGTTTGATGCCTAAAATGTAATGATTTGAGGTGGCTGCATTGTGTTATTATGAAATCTGTCTTTATAGTGAAAGGTGAAATGCAACAGGCTTGGCTGAACTCTAAAGAGATAAAGAGCGGCAACCTGGGTGGGTCCATAATTAATATTATGCATTTAAAGAGAATGACTGATGAGGTGGAAATAAACATTCTGTTCTGCCAGTGACTGCTATTCACCTCGAGGCAGTGAGACGTCCGTGTTTCCCATTATTACTATAAGCAGCGCCACATCCACAGGAGCACTCGGTTTAGAGAGACAAACAAAGAAGCACGACATAAAAACTCTCAGCAGTGAAGAAGCTCCTCTTCTCTACTCCCCCAACCCCCTTTCGCCTCATGATTAGCATTTCAAACAGTTCTTGTTTCGCGTCAGGGCTTCATGCTTGTGTGCATGTCATCACAGCCTTGCAGGTGGTGGCCTGTCCAACCAGTGGAGTTAAAAAGCTCCCTCTCTGCGTGTGTGTGTGTGTGTATGTGTGTGTGTGTGTGTGTATGCTTGCACCTCTTTGCAATTAGGGGTTGTTCAGAGGGATCTGACCTCTATAAAAAGCTAAGAATGTGTTAAAGGACAATGTTGACAATGGATGCTACTGTAATCATACATTTCTCAGTGTTTGCGGTGGGATTTTTTTTTCCATCGGCATAGACCCAAGCCCCTGACTGTGCTCACATTCTGCCACCTGAAAATCCACAAAATCTCTTTTTAAGTGTCTGCCAGCAGCTCCATCCAAACTTTGATTGAACGCATCGCAATGTGCCCAGCATCTCAAGCACAAAAAACAAAGACTTTCGCAGGAGCTCTCAGTTGGCGAAAGGGAAAATAGGTACTGCATCATTTTATCTTAAGTCAATTGCTAATAGATTGTCCTCTCTACGGGATTAACACGAACCAGAATTGTTCCAAGACAAAGGAAATTAAAATAATGAGTTCTCACAGTTGAAAGCTCAGCCAGGAGAAATCTAATTAAATCTCAATTCTTCGTCTTTGCTCTATCTGACAGGGTCCAGCGTTGCTGAAGTTGACTGCAGCAGGTCAGGCTTGGATCACACTCATTAGGCGGAGCGTCTGGATTGCTACCGCGCCACCTAAAATAAATGTAAAAAAAGAAAAATGAGGTGTTTTTTTTCTTTCATCAGTGATTTCAATAAAACTGACACAAGGTCAAAGCTTGGGGGAAGAGTTGAAAACGGTTGCTGGGTTTTTCCATTCTCTGTCAGCTATTATCGGAACGCTGCTCTCAACTTCAAGCAAGTTGTCCAGTTGCAGTTTACCACCTCTGACAACAGCTAAATCTTTCAAACTAGGCCCTTGTCTCCCAACTGGGTTAAAGATTACTTCTTTCGCTTTTCCACTGAGGTCTAAGGCAAAGGTTAATTAGGCATACTGCATCCAGTCGAATGGTCTTTTTTTATTAAGTGAGTTCCTACCCAAGTGAAATGACCCAGAGGTATCGAAGTAGCAGCCTTGATATGAGCTGTTTAAAATCTTTTACATTTTAAGGAAAGGAGCCTCAGAGCTTCCTGTGCTAACTTCTTCTTTTGCTTAGGAAACACTGGACCTTGCCTTATGAATAAAATCAGTAAAAAAAATATAATCTTGTAATTCCCTACAGCCACAACTTTCAAAGCAAACTTTTAAGGCGAGCAGTGATTCATACACATAGATAAAGGAACAGCCCATTTCTATGGGCTTCTCTCTGTTCTTATTCACAAACCTTGGTAATAAAATAACAGGTGACATTGATGCCCTCTTATCTTAAGAAACTAATATAATTTGTAGGATGTAACCTCAGTTTAAATGTATTAAGATTGCATTCAAATAAATATCTAAAGACCTTTTCGTAGAAAATGTAGTGAACAACTCTAGCTCCAGTGATAAAACCCCCATCACAGCTTAGTGTGACTTTGGTCTGATTCTCATCTTTTCTGAGTCGTTTTCTGATCACTTTTCGTTGAACACATTACATTGTCTTGCAAGATCAGGACAAGGAGCTTAGAAAGGGACGGTAGGAGGGCTTTTCTTTGTCTGTTGTTGGTGTTGCTACATTATCAAAGCCATCAGATGAGGAAGTACACTGTTTTAATGGAAGATATGTTAATATCATCTGTTTTTACTTATACCTCTATGCCTGTTTTTATTAGAGCCTTTAGATGTAGCCACTAAGGCAAAATCAGACTTCACTGTCTAATATTGTTAAAATACTTCTACCTTGTCGTGATCAGAGCCTTCTTGAGCCACTGTGGAACTTTGCTGACCACTGAAGCTAACAATGTACCTGCTTTTTCTCAGCTGACTGAAGCGGGCAGTCTGAGTTAGCGTTACATTTACAAACTGCAATGGCACAGCTCTCAGGTGACGTGTTATGCCTCTTTTGGACGTGTCACAATTTTCTGAGGTCCTTCTCTGAACCCTGCTAACACCCCACGGAGAACTGTGGCTATGGGGAGGTCAAGACTGCACACCCTGTTCATACACAAGACACTAGACACACAGAGGTTCAACCTGTATATTTTCAATACATCATTCATTCATTGTTGTATCAGGATTGTGTTGGTCAGTCCGACTTTCTGTTAGAACTTCATTTGTAATGGAAAACTATCTAAACCAAGCAGTGATGAGGCGAGTAGGGCTGAGTAGGATTTAGTCGGGACTATTGGAAAAGCCCTGGGTTGTGAATATTCTCAAATTACCCTAATTAATACTCATTTTTGGTTCAACAATAAAACATCAATCATGTACAGGGTAGGGATTAAAACAGTGTGTTCCAGCTCAGTTGCTGAGGCTGAGCATTACTGTCAACATAAAGAAGCTTCACTTGAATTCACAGCTGTCACCAAGACGTGAGACATCGTCTTTGATTCTTATAAATCCATTTTCTGGGTGTGAAAGTCGGTTAACTCTCCTCTAGATATAGTTGTCCTTTGTCAAGCTTTGCAATGCTTACACAAAGAATTGTGGAAAATGAACTAGCCAAACTGAGTATTGAAAGATTTGGTCCACTGCCAGTGAGCATTGTTACTGAGAACCCTGTTAAATCATTACACCGAAACAGTCCTTGAAAGCATAAAGGTGATCTGGTCTCTGTCTTTGCAATTTAAGACAACCTTTCACCGAATCAACAGACTTCCTATTCATATACTGTATGTCATGGCGTAACACTAATTGCTGCCCTGTCAAAGGTGTGGATGCATTCACATTTCAAAAGCTCTTGGATCGGTTTAATTTCCATTAAGCTTTCCTTTCCATGGGCTGAGATGCAAATGAACACAAACATGAGGTTATATTGCAGCCTCGAGCCCTCTTGGAGGTTAAGAATGCAATTCCTAGCCATATGGCAATATATTTGGAAGCAGTCATAAGCACTAATGACCAATTAACATCACGGCATTTCAAACGGGTGGACAAGAAGACTGAAAACAAAAGAACCACTATTGGAAAAGTGGCTACAAATGGAAACTGCCTGCCATCAGTACACGGACAAAAGGCTTGGGAGATGTAGCAACAGTAACTAAGTGAGGTTTACTGTAAAGGACAACTGTATTCCGCTTTTGGTCTGGTCCTTTCTTCATGATTAGACTGCGATGGGTAAATAAAGAGAGCATAACCACTGATCACTTGCCACAGACTCCCTGTGCTTACCTGCTCCAGTTTCTCACTAAAATGTTTCCCACCCCATAAATAATACATAGAGCAGTTCAACACAAAGGCAACTTCTGAGAAAGTGTATTTCTAAAAGCAATGGGGCTTCCTGTGGCCGTCAGATTTAATTACATGGGTTTTACAGCTCTGTATTAGTTCACAGCTTATTTCCTGTTTGTCCTCTTGGCCCCATCATTCACCAGATTATAGAATTAGGTTTTCTGAACCCGCTGTGCCTGGTGAGAGCAAGTGGGTTGATATAGCCAATGGGAGCAGTTATTATGCTTGATTGTGGAATCTTCCAGCATCAAAGGAGAGCTTATGAAAATAAAGCTTGATGATGAGTATTCTCAAGTGTGTCGGACTTTGCATAGGAGTAAAGCCATTAAAAAAAAAAAGGAGGACACTTGCCATGTGACTGCATTTAAGCATCTATAAATACCATGTCTTGATCTAAAGCCATTATGTGCTTTGTCTTCTGTGGAGCCGATGACACATTTTTCCACTCTGTTAATGATACATGCCATTTCCATATTGTGTCCCGACCTACTCACCCGTAATGTAAATGACTGTCATCACTGACATAATTATCTGCCTCATTGCTCTGTTTATTCTTACAACATCAACCTTATGAGCACACTGCATAACCCCTCAGCTGTTCTATAATTAATACCATAAATGCTTTCTCCCCTCATATTATCCACTCTCCATCTTGTAAGATGAACCATCAGAATAGAACATGTATTTATGCGTCAAGTATGCTAATGTGTTCATTGCTGTGCATAGATGAACTCTTCTCTTTGCTCCCGAATCTCACTTTTTTTTATGTCCTGTCTTTTTTTTTTTCGTCACACTCCCTTCTTTTTTCTCACAAACTTGACGGCTTCAGGCAACGACCCTCCCCAAACCTCACACCTCCCCATCCCTAAAAAGCTGCGCTCCGCCCCGCTCAAGATTTCATCCTTTCAAAAGGCTTTTTTCTTTCCTTGCCATCACCTTAGTGTTCACTCCAGGGGCCTAAGGCACTTGCTTCTGTGAAGTGTCTTGAGACAATTCCGATTGTTGTCGTTACTATATAAATAAAACTAAACTCAATGGCTGGGATGAGCTGGCTACCCGCACAGGGTCTACATCTCCATTTGTCTATTGTCGGCTGGGAAAGGCTTTGGCACCACGGCAACCATCTAAACAATAAATTGGGTATTGCTAATAGCTGGATGGATGGATGTACTGAACTGTGACAAGGACTAATGCAGGCCCTCTCCTCACCTTCGTGGTCTTCACTTTGTTCCCTGAGATGCACGACCAACCAGTGAGGTCAGGGAGAACTCGGCACTCCTCCCCTTCCAGACACGGCTTCATTTTACACCACCACTTCTGGCGCACAATAGAAGCTAGAGAGAGCAAAGGGAGAAAAAAAAATGTTATGACACAAGGTCACTCTATAGATTGAAGGACTTCAAAAAAAAGATGAGCTGTGTGGAGAAAAAAAAATACATCTCAATCATATGTGACACTCTTTTGGTCCTTAAAAGCTTCACTGTCAGTGGGTTCTTGTGAAAGTGACTCCACTCTGACATCTAGTACTTTCAAGTCTCGTCAGAATATTTTAGTTTAAGAGAGTCAGAAGAGGGTTTCAGCAATGTTACCTTCAACACAAGAGGGCAGCGCCCTTGTTGTCCCTGCTACCTGTCCTGGAAAGCAGGAGCACTTGACGGTCTGAGAGCGCTCTTCAATCTTATTCCTATTGCAGCAGCGATGAGCAGCCACTACTTCACAGGTCCCCGTCCTCTCCTTTGATGACACTGAGAGAGAGAGATTTTGTGCGTAAAGATAGGAGTTTTAACACCGAGTTTTGCTTGGAACAACAGGCTACTTTGGTGACTTTTCGTTCCACCGAAGATGAGTTAGAAGGAATAAAATTGAATTTTTATTACAGCAGCAAATCAGTTCGATTATTTATCTTAATGGCTTGCAAACACACACACTCAAACACACACACAAATTAATATAGTTTTTAATGTCATAGCACCACCCAGTGGACGAACGGTATCAGCACTTATACAACAGGCAATGAAAAGAATGTTTTCAGTCTTCTAGTCTTTTCATATCCGTTTTACGTCACCGTTTTCAGTCCCACAGTTGTGCATGTTTCCGATCATCAGAATTCACTGCACAGAGAGTCCTACTGAGCAACATCTGCTGCTGCTTTTTACTCTCACAGACAAAGTAATCAATGGGAACTCAGTCCACCTTTTTCAAAGTGATCACAGCTGATTCATGGTGTTGCACTTCAGTGGAATGTTTGGTGGGATCAAACACAGTGAGAATTCAAACCCATGGTGCAGTAATTTGCTACTCAGGTGTCATTCTGTCGGCACACCCCCAGAACTGGAAAGAGCAGTGACTAAATGATCAATTAAAGTAGCGCTTTAAAACCACAATCAAAGAAAAAGCCAAAGGAGAAAGCATGTAATCATTCCAAAGAAAGCAAAAGGCCTCAGGTTGTCTTTTGTAGCTATTTACTGAAAACTCCTGTTGTGATCCTGAATAGATATATTTTTTTTCAAACTCTATGCTACACAAATATATAATTTAAGGTCTAACAAAAAGGTATCCTCACTAAATATTTCCATTTAATGGTACTTATGCTTCACATGATTTTTGACAATACTTTGAACGCATTTGGATCAATCAGACTCAATCCAAAGCAGTCTATACAAAAAATGTATTTGACAACTAGTTATTCAATTTATTGGATCTCAATATTCGCAGGGCTTCCTTTCAATACTTTGCAGTTCTGAAAATCTATGGCTTGTGATATATTATCTTAAATGTGCATTTGTTTGGAGCATGAAGTCACAGTCAGTCTCGGGATCGTGTTGCTTCAAATGAGCTCCCCACTAGACAAACAGATCAGTGACCAGGAGCCATAATGAGCCCCTCTGGGTGTGCGAGTGGTCTGGCTACGTCTGACACTCACCTGTCTGCCCTCGGGAGCTTCGGTTGCCACTGGACACTGGCTGGATGCAAAGATTTACCGTGCAGAATAATAAGAGGAACCAGTGTAACTGGTGTGTCACCGAGTTCATCTTCATCGTGCCTGCACGTGAAAAGAAAAACACATGCAAACTTGAAGAATTGTTTTTTCCTAAACCATATATATTTCTTGAACCAGTTTAAGAAAGTCTCAGGTGACCTGACGCTATGCAGTTTGTGTTGTTGTTGGGCTCCACATATTTGCTCAGTTGTTATTGTCATATTAGTGAGATAAGTCATGGCAAGTCAAATCCTGACTGGGGGCAGCTTTTGGAGCAGATAGGAGTGGGTCATCCTCTGCTTTCTGAGTCACATCCACCCTTCCAGCTGTTTCCATGTCTATGTGTTCGGAGCTAAACTCTCCATCCAAAACATGTCATTTTACCGTTGAGTCACAGCTAAACCGGGACACTGAATTTTATGCCAAAAAATAAGAATAAATTACTCAAAGAGCTAATGACATGAAGAAACGGTGCCTGTGGCATTTTTTAATTGCATTCCAAGTTTAAGGCAGCAAATAACCTAAATATCTGTCTGTTTGTTTTTTAATACTTCACACATTTTGAAAGCTTGAAGAAATTATTTGCAGAAAAAAATTGCAAACGTTTCTTTAGGGGATCATTTATTAAGCCAATACAACTGTTCTAACTTGACTCCCTCTTCAACGTTTGATGAATTGTGCATTAACTGGGTGACTTAACGAGTTTAGAATCTGCACATAAATTGATGTAGTATATCATCAGACTCCTGAGAGCGCAACAAAAAGAAAATAATTTTATCCACTTACTTGTGGTGGTTGAAGGGAATAAAAGTCAAATGCAGGAGCCTCCGTAAATCTTTGCGTAAACATCGCTGACTTTGGCGTCTCACGAGGAAGACTAAAGTTTCCGCTTGTTGCTGAGGGATAAAACAACTCACCAACTCAGCCCAGAGGAAAGCCCAGCAGCCGTGCGCCTGCTCCTCTGGCGGGAGGACGCAGAATGCGTGCGATCTGTCAGGAAAATTAAAACTTAATCAAGACCGAAACCATCTGTCTCCTGGACAATAAGCGGCCTCTTTCATTAGCGCCTTAAGAGGCTTAAAGTGAGTAGATACACTGGGCACCGCAGGGTGAACTACACCAGAACACACTTTTTCCAGATTATTTCTGGACTTTCTTGGTTTCCTCTTTTTTAAATGCTCTCTTCTTTTCTTTTACAACCAAGGTCGAATCTGCACATGCCTGTTTGTTCAAAGAAGGGACACAATCCACGCGATCTTTAGAAAAAGTTCTATTATAAAGCATCTCCAAAGGCCACAGGGGATGTCTTACATATGTTATAATAGTAATAACAATCGGTCACAAAACACTAACAATTTGTTTCCTTTATTTCATTTTTCAATCGCACTGATTGCATGTATATAGACTTAAAACCCATCAACCATTTACGCCAAAACTATTGACTTACCAGCAGCTAACAGCTGTATTTGGATGTAATCTAAAACAATTTAATTAACTTCATGAATTGTCACATTAAGCAGGAAGATATCTGACACCATATGAGCTGAATAAAGTGTTCAGAAATAAATCTTGGGGATTTAGTGTGTTCCAATTGCCAACTTCTGGTCTTCCATCAATGACACCATCAATGGGTCATATTATTACTCTTTGCAAGCACACATTAACATTCAGCTCATGTCATGGGAGCACAATGCAATCCATCTAAAGCCTTCCTCTGCTGTGGGTCTGCTTACTCATGAAACACTTAAAAAAACATAAAACTGCATTGTTGCTTCTAAATTAAACTACAGCGAATCACTCCCTCATGATAATAAAACTTTATTATAGTCAAGTGCACATAATTCTTCTCAACTGAGGGGTAAATGAGTACAATACAAGTAGAAGTCAGCATGGGACAAATGCACAAACAAATAATGCTACTGCTAGAAAAAACAAGTACTCCGTTGTTGTTAAAGGACTCCATATTCATTATAGCTTCCAATCTCACAACTGAGAGCTTCCACATCTATTTACACCATAATTCCATCACAGTAACTTTGCGATCAGACGTCCAGTTTGCGTTCAGGTGCGTCAGTGCCGTTTGTTTGACGTTCAGGCGGTGAAATTGAGCTTGAAGAGAACTGTCTGAGGCGTGGTGACGTCGGCTACAGCTATTTCCTGGCCATCCGACAAGCCCAGCTCTGCGTGAGAACAAAAAAAAAGTTTCTGTAGATTACAATGTGCACCACAGGTTGTATAAATCTGACCGTTCTGGGGTTTTTTTAAATTCACCTTTTAAAGTCTTGCAGAGGTTTGGCCTGGTGCGTTCTTCGATGGACTTCACAGACTGGAATCAAATGATGCAGATTAAACAGATGTTTGAAACGCTGGGCAGCTAACCCCAGAGGTTAGATGTTGTACCTGTAGATAGAGCGTTTTATTCTTTCCTTCCAGTGTTGTGGTGATAGCTGGAGATTTCATTTGGCTGGAAGGAAAATGCACAACATTTTAAAGTGATCCCTGATAAGATTCCGCTGCGTCATTGAGAAATGTTGATTTCTTAGCACTTACAGGGAGGAATTCTCCGTCAGGTACTCTAAAACCTCCTGTAATTTGGCAGATGGAGGGAACTGGAGGTCCTGCGGTATTTGGCTGCACGCTGAGCAATTTTCCTGATAGTTAGAGATAATTTAGATTATTCTCTGTAAGGACAAGTGTTCAATACGCTGCAAAATGGTCATAGAGACTTAGAAAAGAGAAATAAAAACCTTTCTCTCGGCTTCAAATGTGTAGGTGTACAGTCCGTCCACGTCATTGAAGACGAGGTAATTATTCAAAGGAATATACGCACTGAAAAAAAAGAAAATGAGGTCAAATGACAAATCAGAAGATAGCTGGAATTAAAAATGTCTCTGCCCTACCAACCTTGTAGCGATTTTAAAAACCTCTGTGGCGCAGGCAGCTGCGGAGAACAAAAGTGCCAGTTAGCAAAATAGAATCAGATAGAGTTAACTTAGACTGAATTAACTGTAGAGAGAGGGAATTACGCCACGGGTCATTTTTCCTCCAAAGGTCATTTTTTCCAACAAAGCTATTCCAAAAGCTTAAAATCAAAATCTTTTAACAGTAATTCAGCTGGTAGTTATGCATCTGTTGGAACGCAGGTAGCAGGTTTAGAATGTCACAGACGATAGGATTACCATCTCAAATATGAACTGATCACTGTTCCTGAAGAACAAACAATATCTTCAGTTGATTCCACTGATCTTTCCATCTGGACCATCAGACTCCAAATTCTAACAGGTTCATGTGATGGGATTTTTCCACAAACAGGCCATTTTAAAATTAAACTATGAATATTTGCTAAATCTCCCTTGATACTAAAAACCCATAATATGTACAACAGTCCTGTGGTAGCCTGATACTTTCACAGATAAACCAGTACTGTCTGTGCTTGCTCAGATTGGTTTTTTGGAAGACAGAGTGATAGCCACTACCCGTCAAGAATCTGGCAAAAAGCAATGTCCACTAATGAGCTCCCTGCAAGAGAGGAGTTGGCTGGAAATATGAAAACTTAGCTAAAGATTTTCCTGCAGAAAACAACAAAAAGAAACGTCTAAAGATATAAAACAGTTAAAACGAGGTTGTGAGGGCTTGACCAGCTTAGCGGGAAGCCATGCTTTAACCTCTCTCTCTCATATTTTAGCACAGATCCCCTCCCCCAACAAATGGCACATCGGCTGGTCAGAAAAAGATGAAGTTTAATACCAGCAATGACAGCATTGGTTGATGCCACAGCGGGAATGATCCTCTTCACAACTCCTGTAACACAACAGACATGGAAGAACAATGCTTTGACTTTTTTGTTTTGTTTTTAGGAATAAAGAAATATAAAAGGTCCAAATGCTTTGAAAAGTCCAGAAGAAATAAGTGTGTTTGAATTCACCTTGAGTTAGTCTGTATGTGACTCCTGTGATGTTAAACTCTGCTGCTCGTTCTTGGGATCTTTCAAACACCCACTGGATGTGTTCCGGATTGTCTCCGTCTAAACTCGTTTCTGATAAAAGAGACGGCCCAGGCAGTCAAACTTTATTCTGAAGCAGGCAAGGTTTTGTGAAGGAATAGGAATACCTCCATATGGCTTCTCTTTGGGCCACTGCAAGATTCTAGCATACTCAATGCAGTGTTCTGGCAGCCTCGGCATGGATGCGATGGTGCACATGGGGAAATTTATCTGTGGGTTGACACATTTAACTCTCAGCAGGGATAAGCAGCAAGTATTTAAAGCAAATCACACCCAATTTATTTCTGCCGAATGAAAGTAGCTTGATATAATAGCACTGGGGAGAAAAAACAAGAAATAGAATGCAATACACTTTTTAAAATACATAAATTCAAAACATTTCCTTTAAAGTTGTTGATTAAATCTTATGAAACAAAACTATGTTATGAATTCTTTCATTCATAACCACCGCAGTTGCCATATCCTTTGGGCTCTAAAAAAAGAAGGTTTTTTGCACTAGGTTTTTCTGTTCAGTCCTATACTGTAACTAAAAAGCTGCACAGACTTTTTATAATATGTTTCCTCTTTTTTAATAAAAAGCTGATGGAAAAATTAAACACAACGCTTTCACACTCCATAGAACAAGCTAACAGCAAGCATCCTCAGTACAAACAGACCTTTTTTAGTCCTCCATCATCCTCTGAGACAAAAACTCATACACTCAAACCGTTTAAGAGGTGTGTGGTACCTGGGGTGGGTACAGCTCCAACGTGCAGTCAATACATGCCGTCATGCCGGGCAAAATGACACGAGCGTTTCCTTTAAAGCCCTCTGTCCCTCCATCAATAAGGGGAATGATCGAACTGGGATCCAGGATGCCATCCTCATAGCTCAGGAGGGAAATCTAGAGAGGGCAAAATCATCTTGGATTAGAGTGAAATAAATCCCTTAGTAAAAAAAGGAAAGGTAGGCAACATTTTTTATTTATTTTTTTTATTTACACATACCAGCATCCCGTTCATCCAGCGCCTGGCAATGATGGAGTCCAGTCCACACACAATGATGTGGAACTCTACAAAGGAAAGAAAGACAAAATATAAATAAATAAGAATATATATTTTAGTTTTTTTTACTTCTGAAGCTCTACAGAGGATCAGAATTAGAGGTACACACTTACGTCTGTAAAACGAGTCATCGAAGTCTTGGATTTTTTTAAAGTGACTGTGTGTCATCAATAAGGAAGAAAAGCTGTGGTTAAAATATGCCATTACCCCACAATGCAATCACACCACACCTGAATAGGATGTTAGGGTTAGAAAAGGATACGGGACTACTTTGCATCCTGGGACACGACTATTGATGAAGTCAGCAGCCACTTCTGCCTTTGGTCTTCCAACATCTTTGGGCCTAAATGGATACAGTAAATCTTTTACTTAGACAGAACCTGCTGGTGGAAGCTATGTCCTTTAGCCTGTACGTGAACTCTGCAGGTTATAGTACACTGATATGGCATCTCAAAATGTTTTCTAAAACTATGCATATTCTTTTTTGGTAAAACATAGGATTTTGAGACACAGCAACGGGCATTACATTAAGGAGAGAAACCAACCTGAACAGAAACTGTCTGTTGAGGTTGGACACATCAATAGTGTCCATGTCAACCACATGAATGAGGCGAAACCCTGACAAGGCCTGAAAAAAAACACAGCAATGTCAAAACAAACCAGTCCAAACCAGTCAGGACAGATTGTGTTGCGATTGTATTACTGTAGCACAGATTAAAGCCACCAGTTTACCAGATTTTTAAGGAGTTCACATCCCAGTCCTCCAGCACCGATGACCAGAATCTTACACGTTTCCAACAGAAATTGGAGAGACTGATGACACAAGAATCAGAATGTTAAAAGGATTTCACTGTGAGTCCCGATGTGTATCGCCTCATCGCCCTGCCCGAACCGTCACCTCTGTGCTCGGCTCGAAGTCAGGATGGGTGAAAGGGCCCGGCCTCTCCAGGAACTTCTGCACGTGATTCCAGCGACCATCCCAGTCGCACCCGCCACCTCTGTGTCCACTGTCAACTGCCATTCTGGATACACAATACACACACACACACACAAAAAAAACACTGAATATGTACTATAGCTAAGATCAGAGCATGCACTTTCCTTATTTTAATACCTAAAACAAGACTACGTGTTTCCTCATAGCTATGAAATGACAGAAATGAAAATTGATTCAGACGACCATCAAATGAATTAGGAATAGCGTAAATGAGCCTGTCAGTATGATGCCAAATTACCCGTTCAACTACGCTGCTAAGGAGAAGGGATTTGCGAAACATCTCACAGCATGCTTTTCCTGCTATATATTTTTTTTTCCAACATAAACGCAGCCTGGCTTTGTATTTCAGTTGTCTTTGACTGTCGAACAAGCTAAATTTGTCCAGGTCTGGGACCACCAGAGGGGCAGAGAGGTCATGGGCTGATTAGGAAACAGGAAATGATGCTAAACTAACTTCTAACTTCATGGAATCTTGTATCATCAGTTTCAGTTCAATTTATGTGAAGGTTTTAGTTAACCACATTTGTGCTGCATGCACTAAAGATAAATAGACATCTTTATTTATAGGCGCTACATGTGGTGAGTGATGTGCAATATGGTAGCTGTGACTAATATTGCTGGAGCGGTTTGAATTTAGGCATTACTCTTCCCTCCTTCTCCATCAGGTAATAAGTGTTCACCAGGGAGCCTACAGTGAGTGTCACTCTGTGCTTTTGTACACACTACATTCTCAAACCTGCTAAGGATGGTTAAGTAGTGTGAAACTGGCTCATCTTTCCAGATTTGTCCTGCAAGGAGGATGACAGGTGCAATGCTGCTGCTCTCTCTGGATTATATTCCACGCTGCAAATAGGATACACTGTGTGATAGGGTGTTTTTCTGTAAACTACGAGCTGACAGGCTTTTCGAGGCTGCTCCTAGCAGAGGTGGTTTGTTTTACGTCTCCTGGCCCAGCAGTCGCTGCTCAATGTGCAACGCAAACCTGCCGCCAGTCAGAGACCTTTATTTAGCATTCGTCACTAACTTCTCAGTCAGGTCCTCTATTCGCCTTCTTTTCTTCTCCCTGGAATAAGAAAGTAAGTCAGCGTTTAAGCATGCCCGTGTACCGACAAAGGGTCAACGTAAGTCTGCGATAACATGGTATTTTCTGTCTATTGAGACTTACGGCTCCTCGGCATCCGCCATACTTTCAGGGTCCCATGTCCTCGTTTCCCACTGCTGCGTTCACGGGAGTCAAAGCTGCGTGGGGCTTTGCAGCTCCAAATTAGTAAAACACATCATGCGGAACAAAGGCAAGGAAATACAACTTCATTTGGAAACACCGTTCACATTTAACTTAAGAAGTGTTGCCCCTTTCAAAGGAAATTATCAAAAAGTAAAATCCACCGAATTGCAAGACATAGTGTCATTACATCCACCTTTCTTGTGGCATTCATTTAATTTTGTATGAATAATCCCACATTTTAGAGATTATCCATAAGTGTCAAGGAGTGAAGCGTTCATATTGAGGAAATGCTACCTTCAAAACTGGCACCATAACGTTCGGATGTTGTTCACAAATTAAACCCGATAATCTTTTCAAAATGCAAAGTGGATTATTTTTTTGTGAAAAGCTTCCCAGTGTTCTGTTGGATGATTATTTATCTAAATGATTGCTTTTTATGTGTTCATGCTCTGCTGTCACCTGCGTGCGCTGCAACGCATTCTTGTTTATGAGCGCAATAGGAAATCTCCAAACACAACACTACTCCACGGTTCTCGCGAGACCACATCTTCTCGTTTAGGGTCTTCTCTCCAAACCGAGGGGGGGGGGAGATCAGCTGACCTGTCAAAATATCACGCAACGCGTGCGGGTGTGTTTGTTGTCCACAGCACGCTGAAGACATGGAAGCCAAAATGGAGCTCGCTCCTCTCAGACCGTGGGACGACTTTTTCCCCACGACGGACCGGTTCGCCAAACCAGAGTTTGGCGATTTAGCGAAGTGGAACAATAGAGTGATCAGTAATTTAATGTACTACCAGACGAATTATTTCGCCGTGGCAGTGGTGGTTTTCCTCATTGTTGGGTAAGTGCTGGCTAACAGGCTAACAGGCTAGCATCTTTAGCCGTGCGTTAACCCGCTTGCATACCTTCACCCACACCCATCCTGATCACTGACACTGTTTCCGATGCAGCCTCTCTGTCTCTTTCTTCTGTTATTCGGATATTCAAGCCACATCTGGCTTTCAGATATATCTACAAAGATATTACCAGCTCATGTTAAGCTAAACAAGTAGTTGTAGTTTTGTTTTAGATTGTCTGCTAATGCTTTTTCACTACATGAACGAACAACCACACACAGTGACAACAAAGATTGCTCTCAGGCTGAAGATGCAACTTTTAGCTCCAGATGACCAAACATCACATATTTGGGCGGATGGGCCTTTTTAAGCTGCTCTAAACAAAATATGATGTAGGTGATCAGAGGTGGTGATTGTAGGCCTTCCTGCTGGTGGCTATCACCCAGTGCTCCAGTATAACTTTGCCTCCACCAGCAGGTGGTGCTGTTTGTCCAAAAACAAATAAATGACCCACATGAACTACGTCCTATCTTCATGTTTCCCCATTCAGGTTCCTGAATCCGTTTGGCATGTTCCTGGGAGGCACTGTGGTGGCCCTGGTCTTCGGAGGTTCTGTGTGGGCCGGAGAAAACCAGTCCACAATCAAGAACTTCAAGAGGAAGAACCCCACGCTGTTCGTGATCGGTGTCATGGTCACCAGCTACTTTCTGCTGTCGCTGTGTGGTGGTGTCATGGTCTTCATCTTTGGAATCACTTTCCCCTTGCTGTGTAAGTCTAAGCCTGCTGTCCATGCCTTTCATGCTTGCTTTGGAAAAGGAAATGGGGAAATTAAAGCACTCCCCCCTCCCTTTGTTATATAATTCTGCATCAGCTTAGAGGAAAGTAAACCAGCTGAGCTTAATGCTGCTATTCCAACCATTGTAATATAGACTTCCATCTCTTTTATTTCATGTCAACATTAGAGATGATGACAGTATAACAGAAACATTGTATAATATCGCTTTTATTGTACTGGAATGGCTCATATTTACTGTTACTCTTCATTACGTAATATTATTTCTTTGTTTATGCTTCACCTGCAGTTCTTACGTTGACTCCACACCTTGTTCAGTGCATTTAACCAACTGGAAACCTTAGCAACTTTGTGGCTAATTGCCAGTGTTTAACAGTTAGAACTGCTCAGAGTAATGGTGATTCACAATGATTTGTGAAATGAGAGTTTTCTGACGATGAGCAAACGCTGGCTCATGCCAACTCACCGTAGGGCTTGAACGGCCTGTTCTGTAGCTCTGACATGTGTTTGCTTGTGCCAACAACTGTGCAATGAAGTTGGAGATAGCCCATCAGTGAAGACATTTCACTCGGGCGGATCATTTGCAGATCTGATATTGTGGCAAATGGACGAAGCGGTTTAATCCCGTCTCAGGAGACCTGCCCGGTCCTGCTCGTGTTGATGGGTTGCTATGGTTTGTTGATGTGGACAGAACTGCATTTGCAAACTGAGGTCATTTATTTAGTATCTGCCCGTCATGGAAATGAAAACATATGCCCGTCCTCACACCTGCTGCGGCAGCCTCGCTTGTTACTGTTGTTTGTTTGTGCACGACAGGCTAAAGGTGTCACTTTATGTTGGCATTTTTTTCATTTCAGTGATCCTCATCCATGCCTCTCTAAGACTGCGCAACATGAAAAACAGACTGGAGAACAAGATTGAGGGTGTCGGGCTCAAGAAGACTCCAATGGGCATCATCATGGATCTCCTAGATCAGCAGGAGGAGAAAATGAACAAGATTCAGGATTTTATTGAGGGCAAGCTGAAGTAAGCCTCAGCAAGAGGGCGTGCCCAAGGAAATTGTTGTCATACAGTATGGATTTAGATTATTTTGCATCATTATTTCTTCCTCATGTGTCACAATTTTACCATCTGTTTGTATTCCCTTTTTTTTAAACTCTTTGGTTGACTTTATAATAATCAAAATGTGGCAGTGTGTGCAATCGTAGTGTGAGTAGGTATTGAGAGGTCATAAAAAGTTACCAAAGGTTTGAACATTCCCATGTCCAAAAAGGTCATTTCTCTGGCTCCATATTCTACATGACTGAGTATTTATTTCAGAAAAGTGCAATATGTAAACCGATTTTAATCTATACGATCAATATGTGGTAGTTTTATTAGTTTAATATAAAGAAGAAGAAGAAAAAAGGCAAATTTCATCTCAGTTTGCTACCTCAAATTGAGCATGTTTGTCTTTCTTCGAGTAGACCCACGTTACTAAGATACAGGCCTGTGCTGAATGAGGAGCCGGTTGAGCTTAGACCAATTTGTGTCTAAAGTGTACACGGCTTCATCACCTGACTAATTGACACAGGACAATGTTTTCTCCCACCGTCTGCAGACAGTTCCTGGTCACGCTGGCTGAGTTTAACGGCCATGATCACAGCTATGCAATACTGAAAAATGAATGGCAAGTGCAGCTCTGTTTGTCTTCGATGCCATTGTATGTGCATGTATGTCCGTTTTGATATGTTCTTCTTTTCACTGCGTAATATGCAGAAGGTTCTAACATGACAGCAGGATTTAAGTTGATACTGAGTAAGAACCATTTTGTGTTGGATTTGAATTGAACGAGCTACTCTTGAGGAATATACTAATCAAGTTTATCACGTGCTAAGTGTTTTACACTGCCGATATTTATTTACAGATGCTTTTGCACATGCATATTGATTGTGGTTTGGGCCTGCTCTGCTCATAGGTGACACTTATGTGTCATAGATGCTATATTATGTATGTGTCATTTACATTTTTATGTAACATTTCCATCCCTGAAAAAGAAATTGATGAACTGGAAATAAGACATGGCTCTTCCCTATTAAATTAATTAAACTGGAATTATCCGCCTGGGAATTGTTTTCTGTTGAAGTCCTCAAGATGATAAACAGAAGTGCATAAGGTTAATCAGCCTATTCGTTTTAGTGTTTTTTCAGTAAACCAAGGACAAAGACTTACTGAAAGAATTAAACAGATGCATTTCTAAATGGAAGCACTTGTTTCAAACAGCGCCAAGTCATTCATTTTCAGCTAATTGTCAAAGGCATGAATTTTAAAGCACATAACTCTCTTTACAGCTAATGCATTCATCATGTTTTTGTCAAACCTGCAGCACTTATTTCAGGATTTAAAACTAATAAAATAAATGTTTCCTGAGGTCTTAATCTGGTTCAGCACTGTTTGCACTATTCTCATGCATATTCAAATAAAAAGAAGGAAATATATCGAGAGGCAAAGACTGACAGCCCTCTTTTTTACCTGGCTAATGTTTTGAGCAAATTTGAGTCAGTGTGCATTATTTCAAATAAGAAAACCACTCTGCTTACCAAGTCGCACCACAAAATTACATAAATATACTGTACATGTTTGGACATGAAATAGTCCTGTTATAGTCTGTGTTTAACAGAGTAGAAATTACAAAATAGATATGTTTCCATATTAATTTAATGCAGTGTCAGGATGTCTTTCAACATATGTATAATTTTTTTTTTCATCATTACATCATTAACATGTAGTGTGCTTACACAGCTACGGAAAGAGGAAACCAAAATTCCTCTTGTGTGTAGATTACATAGTGCACTCAGAAGTTTTTTCTGTAAATATTGGCAGACACATATATGAAGTATGCACAAGATAAACAACACGCATGGTGGGTAAAGGGCTGAAGTTGTGTGTCAGAAGAGGCTTGTTTCGCTCGATTCCAGGACTTTCGGGAGTGGTACCTGTCAGAGGCAACAAAAACGGAAGTTTGCTTGAAGATCTGCAACAGCGCACGCAGAGTGAAATAATCCTGGATATATTTCAAAATGCTGCAGGCATTTAGAAATATAAGCAAAAAGTAATATAAGCAGTGACTGAAACAAGAAACTAAAACCTGAGCGGTTACTTAGTAACAACAGGTAGATACTTACGGATTTGAGATACGCCACGTTGCTCTTTTTGATCTGGTTTAGGAGCTGATCACGAGGCGTAATGTCAACCTTAGGAGGCAATCGTCTGCGAGGCACAGGTTTCAAAGTCTTTATTACATCGGTCAGGTTAGCTTTTTCCTCTGTACCCTCTCCAGTATCTGCATCCCTCACTCTGGGAGTTTTCCTCAACTGGAAACTTGCCCTCTCGGGTCTCCTGTCATCTGTCAGATCCAGAAACGGATCCCGCTTCTTAGGCGTCCTCTTTAACTGGATGTCTTTAAGTGGGTTTGCTGGCTCTTTGTTGGATTGTTTGGGAATACCGTTGTGTTTGGGTTTCTTCTGTGGTTCTGGTTGCTCTCTTTGGAGCATCTCGGGCAGAGCGTTTAGCTCCATCGAGGGTGGGACAAGCCCATGCTCCTGAAGGAGTTCAAGAGGAGGTATGTACCCCAGCCTCTCCAGTAAGCCGGGGGGCAGATTCAGGCTGGTTTCATACATCTGCATTAGCTCCCTCTGCTCCTTTTGCTGCTGCTGCTTCTGCTCCTCCTTTCTCAGCTGCCTCTGGCGGTCCAGATTCCTGGTTAGTAAATTTGTCACCACCATCCTGGGACCTGGCAGCTCGAAGTGGTAGCCCATCTTCAGGAGGGTGTTGTTGGCCTTGAGCAAGCGGGAGATCTCCATCTCTGAATGGTGACCCAGCATGTGTCTTTGGTTGTGAAAACGAAGCTCCGTCAGAGTCTCATTGAACTGGAGGCAGCGGATGATGGCAACGATGCCCTTGCCGGTAATGAAATTGGACTCGATGTTTAAAGTCGTAATGCTGCGATTCTCTCTCAACATGTTGGCCAGGCTGAAAGCAAGGTTTTCGTCGACGCCGGTGTTGGCTATGCTAAACATTTTCACGTGCTTGTTCTTCTTCAGGGCGTTGACATAGTCCAAAAGCATCTCTTTCGGAATGTTTTCGATGTTGTTGAGATTTACCTCTGTGACGGAGGGGTTGTTGTTACGGATCTTGTCAAGGGTCGACTCCAGATTCGTCTCATTCCCCGAAGGCCTTGATGTCATTTTTATGTTATTCAGTGCCAACTTTGGAATTTTCAGTTTGTTGACTTTTATCTGTTCTCTTTGTGGGAGGATCTCATTACTTTCTTGCGTCTCCAGCACCTCTGAGGCCTCTTGAGGAGGTAAGGGGCCTGCATTTGTAAATTTGTCCTTGTTGTCATCATTTGATAGCTCGTCTTTTGGCTTGTCGTTCACTGTATCATCTCCTGCTACTTGTTCTACTGTGGGTGGGGGCTCAGGAGGCTCTTCCTTGTTTTCAGATTCCTTTTGGACGAGTGGCCTCACATCTTCCTCATATTTCAGTTCAATCCCTTTGTCTTTTTCAAAGCTCTCGTCGTCTTCCTCGATTATTTCCTCAATTATTTCCTCTATGATTTCTACCCCATCGCCACAGTCATCAATATCTCCCTCAATGATTTCCTCTATTACCTCGTAGACCTCATACTGAACGTCATCCGTGTTTTCTTTGATTTCTTTCTTTTCAGCCTCTTCTTGTAAAGTTTTCTGGAAATAAACCAAAAGGTAACAGAGCCTGTAAAATTACAGCTTAGACTTCCCATTATGACCAAACCTTTCACATAGAAATGGAAATTGATTTGCCTGAACATTTCAGAGCTCTTACCTCACTGGGCAGCAAAGTCGCGGGCACTCTTTCTTCATCTAGCATACGTTTGGACTCTTTCTCCCAGTAGAGGTAGTCGACAAGTTGTCTGTGGTCAAATGTTCCTGTTGGAGGTTTCTCCGTCTGGTCCCTCTGTCTTTGTCCAACGGGTACACGCTCATCTGGGGCAATGATTACATCCATCTCACTTTGGAGTTCCTTGAGCTCCTCGGGAGAGAGCATTGCCAGGATTTCATCTTCATCGATGTCCTCTTCATCGAGATCCTCGAGATCTTTAATGTTGGACATGTCAATCTGTGTTTTCTTTCCCCTGATATCAAGAGATGTAATAATTCCTGTCCAATCTTTGCCTAAGTACAGAGCAAACTGGGGAGCCTCTGACTTGGATGAGCAAGCTAGAAGTGGTTTGCTTCACACATGATCTAAAATTAAACCCTGTGAACTACATGGAAGATATTTAAGGTGCAAGCAGGGGGAGAGACACGCTGGCATTCTTTTTTCAGCGCCTTCTCCCAGCTGGCCCAGCCGTCAGGGATTTTGAAAGGATAGTTGGGATGACAGTTGCTCCAAGCAAAATGAAAGTGTAGGACTGACAGCAGCAGGTGGATTGTTTTTGGGAGTCTGTTGGCTGGGTGGGGTCTGGTTGAAAGACCCCACTGTAATCGGAGCTCCTAGAGTCACACAAAACACAACTATGAAGTGCTGTGTAATAGCAAGCAATGAGCCAGAGGGGGAGTTTGTTTGTTATACTGTCCATGACATTTGTCTAATTTTGTTTAGATCATAGCTCAAAGTAAAGTTTGATCATGTTTCTTTGTATATATATATATATATATAAAAAACTCACTCAGATATATAGAGTTATAGAGGTGGTCTAACTGGTTTTATCAGAACATTACTGTTCAACTGTCCAAGTGTTAATATGAGACAAACTACCAGACTGTGAGCTAATATTGAATGACAGGCAGTGTTGTATTGCTTTCAACGTGGATATCATCATGTTTTTAAAATGACTACCGATATTCCTTTAAGGCTTCTCAACTAACTTCATAACAGAACCTGAACAGCTTGTTTGCCAGCTCTGCAAGCCTCAAACAAAGAGACGACACCCATCTATGTGTCACACACGTATTTATTTACCTCCTCGTTCCAAATGGAAAATATTATATCTAACTACATAGAACTACACACTTACTGTACAAATCTGTGAGAAAACAAGTATGTGGATATGGATTTTTATGGCAGTGCTTTCTTTTCTAATTAACCAACAAAAACTGATTTAATCACCATGCATTTTTAAAACACGTAACTGCACCGAGAAGACAAATGGATCTAGAAACAATATTGGCATTATACATTATGACTCAGAGTTTAAAAATTTAAGAAATAGAAAAGACAAAGCCTGTTCTAATGATCTAATCAGCTCCTGTTATGTTGCTTCTGTGGATGTGTAGATTTTTACAACCTCGACATCATAGTCAAGTCTATTGTCATGAAAATGAAATGGATGATTGTTTTTATTCTATCACCTACTGATTTTTGTAAGGCAGTAGCTAGTTCTTCTTAAAATACACTTTTTTTTTCTTTTTTTAAAATTTTTATTCTCAATACACATCAGGGTTTGAATCCAGTGTACTTGTGCAACATCTTGACACATTCTCATCTGCCTGTACAATTCCTCAAGGCACACAGGAAAGTCATTCAAGAGTGTCATCACTGTGTTCAGAGCTTACTGTGACATTAGGACAATGTACGCCTCTCTGCAAAAACCTTCTCAGACAGGATATCGCCAAAGACTGCTTTTTTTTTTAAATGCAAAGAACTCCTGTGACAAGCCTGCGTTTCAGCTCCATTTCCCTTCATGTGCTGCTGGACATGGCTTTGTTTGTGCCACCGTTTGGCTTGGTCCTCCTCAGTGGATGCTCATATAGCTTCCATTCAGGTGAAATCTGTAAATGCAGGGACGAAAGCAGGTGTCAAATGAACCATATTTCGCAAATTTTCAGACAAGAAACGTATGTTTTCACATTTTGCGATGATGGAAGTGGAAAAAACAACAATAACAACAACAAAAACACGATATATCAAGGAAGTGGACAACATTATTGTGGTTTTATGGACTAAATGGAAATGTGATACTTGTACAGAAATCAATTATGATTTAATGTATGATTTAACCATAATTTGGTTTAGAAATTTAAAATCCAAAAAAGATGAGGCCTACTGGATCAGGAACAATGATGACTTTTCTTAATAAAATTTGGTAATAATGTTTTTATGTTGTTGACAGGGTGAGTGGGAAAATGTTAATTCAATTGAATTGCACTACCGCTATGTTCTGGCTTATTTGCCTATACACTTCTTCATAATGTATTCAGTTTTTTATGATACATTTACAGAATTAACTCAAATTATATTCTTTAAATCTTGTTGATTTGGCTAATACTTCTATACAACCAGAATAAGTACTTGTGAATATGGTGGACATCAGCATTTCAACATCAACAGTATGGACTGATTTGTGTCTAATTGTCTCCCAGAGGCACTACCATTTTCCTGGACTTGTACTCCTTCAGATTTTACCAATTCTTCTTAGCTTAGTATTAATCTTTGCCTTGATTTTGGTTACTCCTTGACAATGAATGGAATATTCATTAACGAACACAGTGATGTCACCTGATGCGGAAACAGTAACAGCAAACCATAATATGAAAAGATGATTTAACCAAAAAGCCTAACAATAGTAACACATGAATGGCTATATAACATCGAAATGGTGATGACTTGCAACACAACAATAAGCGACCAGCTGTGGTCTCACCCTTAAGTGCTAGCATGGCTGTCTGATGGCTCATCTGTACTAGTGGCTTCAGCAGCAATCACATCTACTGACTCAGACTTTTTAGGCATTGTGTCAGACCCTTTGTTTTCAGGAGAAAATCTGCACACATTTGAGCATTGGTCAAAGGTCAAAGGAAGTTAAGGAAGACAGAAAGAGAAAGAGAAGATCCTTGTGAGAAACAATATCTGAAGGCGTAAAGGAATCAAGAAGAACACAAAAAGGGTACTTTCTTTTTATTAAGAAAGTACCCTTAGAATATTGCATTTATTAAAGTATAATCTTGTTTTACGTATTCAGCTGAGGCAGGATTATCTGTTAGTGCTTGCATCCTGCAGAGATTCTGAGCAGCTCTCACCTGTTGTGTGTGGGGCTGCGGTTGCACAGAGACACTGCAGCTCCAGGATTAGGGTGCTGAGGAGTGTCGGGCGTATCAAACTCTGTTAGGCCAACTGCCAGCTGGTTGCGCCAGTTCCCTGTGCTCTCAGCTGAAGACACTGAAAACAATTATACAACATCATTATTGAGCTAATGGCGGTGTTGCACGTCACTAATTATTGTTTTTGGGAGCACAGCTTAGTTCCAATAAATGTGACCATCGTTAAATCCCAAATATTATATAGTTATGTGTTTTCACCGAGTTATTTTACAATTCCTTTGTCATGGACTTCTGACCAATGATATGTTTATTAGCACAGCATTAGGATGCAAAACATGTGACTGCACTGTAAATGAATCTATATTGTATAGTTACATTTATAAATCCCTATGGTATACCATAACACCCACCCCCAAACACCCACTGTTCCTCCAGATTATTCCTCTGGTTTCCTAACTTTACAATTTTACATTCTATAAATACTGCCATGTTGATTTAAGTTAAACAAAACTGGAATGATCTGAATTTAATATATTTGGAATTGATGTCCCACAATCCCTTTTGCTGTGAACAGGTGCTATTAAATAACGGTTTCTCACCTGAGGAGAAAGAAGTGGTCCTGCTGGAGTGGCTGAAGGCTGCTGGCATGGTTTGGTAGCCTAGGCTCAACTGTGAGCCGTTGTCAAAGTCGTATCCAGCCATCAGTCCCCTCCCTCCCTCCCGGTGGCCTCTGCTCCGGTGGTACCAGCCTCTAAGGTGTTCTGCCACCAAGGCCTTCTGCATGTTTTTGGCCAACAGCTCATTTCTGGGGCCCTCTCGGCTCCGTGGTGGTCTCACAGTTGCATAAGGATTCTGAGAAAGGCTATCAGCTCCATCACTGCTGTAGTGCCTGAACCTGTCGTGTCCATGGTAGCCGTTCATTTGGTAGGAGGGGTTCACATTGTAGTGGCCTTCAACCTCACTCTCATACACGTAGGCACCATTAGCGTAAGGCTCCATGTCCGGGCAGGGGTAGCCAGTGACATAGTAGGCACTGGGCGCGAAGTGTGTTGAGGCCTCGCATGAGTAATTGCAACCATTGTGGTGCTGGACCAAGTTGGGCATGCTTCCAGTATTACCATACACTTCCATTTTCCTGTGTAGACGATGTATGGTGGAGGTGCGAGAGTCCAGTGTGTTATAGTGGGAATTAGCTGCTCCGCAGTAGTCCAGGCTTGACTGGCTGGTGTAGGAGGAGCAGTCTTCCAACACCTCGGTGCTGTTGCTGCGGTCAGCTGGTGACAAGATAAAGACGGGCTTCTCCGGGTCTGTGTCTTTTCTCAGCCGGGGCTGAGACTCCAGACTTCCACTGCGATGCCTGAAGTAATGAGGAGACCCCTCCGACCTGGAGAGAGGACAAAACTTTTAATCTGTCTCTCAAGGTAAGGCGACACGTCATGGGATAAGGTTGTTGAAATTGGAAGGAAAAAAAGAAAACAACAGATTGGGACTTTACATGAAGGTTTTAGTAAAGGGATTGTAGAGTAGGAGGGATTTAGCTGAAAGAAGTCATTACTGGGTAGATGGATTAGTAGTGGGTTGGAAGTGAAGGATAACAAAGACCACACCTGAGCTGGCTGCTGCTGTAAGCATTGCGGGTCATTGCCGGGGTGGGAGGCATGCTGTGTGGATCTCTGGGAGGTCTTGGAAGGGTTTTATAGGGACTACTGTGGGTAGAGGAGACCTCTCGTGAATTCTGGTAGGGATGGGAAGCCTCCTGGCCATCAAAAACTAATCTATATGGTTGCAATACCAAAAGAGGACAAAAAAAGGTAGATGTGTAAGGAAAGGAAGGAGGCTGCAAACGTGACAACAAATAATGTGGACCACAACAATGCATGATGTCATTTTTTTCCCCTCTGTCATCTTGTGATCAAATAAAAAGTTGCGAAACCAGTCATAACTTACACAAACGGAAAATAGGCGAGGATCATAATGTTTGCTTCATACCTGCTGTGGTTTTTGTGGTGATTTCCTGCCAGGGATCCTTGTCTGTCTGCGTCATAGTCCGCTCCCAGTGAGCGCATCGGACTCAGTTGAGGGGAACCTTGGACGGAGCGTGACCGTGGCCTTTGGCCTGCACCATCTGAGTCATCTACACACAGGCAGAAGAAATCCTAATGTTCAGCATTTTAAAAAAATGTTGCGTTTGCGTGCACAACCAACAAAACCTCATCATGTTACTGGCAGGTTTAATAATGTTAGCACACCCAGTTCGTGTTGTCTGACTCACCATCATCCAGCGGGAGACTAGACAGAGAGCTACAGTTTGACCGGACAAGTTCATCTGGAGAAAAGAAGCAGCTCTTTATGTACACGGTAAGTATGGTTTAAATGATTAATGCAGCAACATGCTGTGCGAGAACTTGTACTTACCTGCTATGATGACTGACGCCCTCTGTGTGGGCTTTTTTCCTTTCTTGACTCTGTACTGGTTCATCTCATCCTCTATCTGCTGGAGTTTGTGCATAGCATCCAGACAGTTTCTCCTCCTCTTCTTCTTGACTGTTTTGCACAGCTCTGCCTCATTGGCCAGCTTCTTGGCTGCCTCCACAATCTTTTGTTGAAGGGCAAATCTGCTCTCCAGGTTCCTCAAAAAGGGATCCTGTACACGTCCCAAAAAGACACCCAAAAAAACTATCAAACTATTCCAAACTTAACTGTAAACTTAATCTTACCTAAAGAAAAAAATGTGAAATGAATTATTTTTATAACAGTAAGTCCAAAACTCCTTTATTCTTATCAAAGATATCAATATTTTAAAATGTCTTTTTTTAAACCTTGTCCTTAAAATATGTTCTAAAGCAGCTGGATTCTGATATTTTTAGAGCAATAAGAGGATAGTATTTTTGTGCAACTATTTTTAACCATATTTGCAGCATCAGTCGACTAATCAAATTTAGACACTTGGTCAGAGACCTTTGCTGTAGTACTCTTTTTTTTTCATAAGTAGATCTTCAGTGATTGAAAGCGACAGATCAGATGTTTTCTGCTGTTGATAACACATCAAGGAAATAGAGTAGGAAGTGCTCTTTTATGTTCCCTTAAAAGAGGATATTTCCACCCTTGCAATGATAGCTGTGGTACTAAACAAAAAACAAGTCAAGTATATAAATCCATTAGCACCCTTCTGAGTTATAAATATCATTATAAAATGCAGCTTAAAGTCATTATTGTTTATGCTAAATGGTACCCCGTACACTTAAATGTGTAGAGGCTCCTAAAAAACAAGCACTGTAATGTACAGAGCCGGTTATAAACGTATTTAGGATCATCTAAACCTAAACAATAGTGTGCAGGATTAATTTAATTGGGCTGTAACCAATAACTAGTGTGGAACTGATGCATATTCAGTAGTCTTTTGAGAATATTTATGAAGAACTGAGTGAAGATATAACATGCTTTGGCTAAAGAAACAATGCATCAAATTGTCTTTGACTTTTATCCCTAATTTCTACCTTCATAGTACAGAAAAATGTACCATGGTACAGAAAAATGCAGAAAAAATGTGTTTGATTAAAATGCAGATGTATTATACAGACCTCATTGTAGGGGAAGAGGTCATCTAACTTGAAAGCAGTACCAACACGTCGTCTGACCTGCGGTGGTCTCTCCCCTGAAGAGAGGGGATACTCCTTTGGAAGTTTTCCTGTTAATTCCTGGAATCAGAAAACCAGCAAATGCTCTGGACTGTTATAAAAAGCACAACACGAGCATCAGGCCAGCCATACAGCGACAGACATAGCTGAATTTAAAAAAGTTCCCTCACCGCCTCTCTGAGGCAAATCTTCTTCAGCTCTTTTGTTTTCTTGACCAAAATATCTTGGATCTCCTGTTCTTTCTTCCTCAGCTCGGAGAGTTTCTCTTTTTTCTGTTCCTCGCTCATTTCTGAGTCTGCTGAGCCTGAAAATACAAACATTTAGTTATCTATTGAGTTTTTGCCAACACAGAACACCACACCCTGGGACCTGAACTCTGTTAAGACATGAGCTTAGATTTTAAAATGTCACCTTAACTTTTCATTTCTCCAACAGCTCAGGGTTTAAATGTCAGACTTTAGGGTTAAGTGGTTAGACTAAGATACTGTCTGTCTGTCTGTCTGTTTCTTGTAAAAACACACAACTCCGAGGGCTTCATGAACAACAATAATCATGACCTACCTGTGGACACCAAGCTCCCATTGCTGGCTGTTATAAAGTTATTTTTTAGGCCTATGTCTCCCAGTCTGTTTATTTTTGCTGCTCCGTGCTCTGTGAGGTCCATGGCAATTTCCTCCAAACTTCTAGCCGGTCCAACCTTAGCCTACCGGAGTGAGGAATACCATTTAAACCAAAAAGTAATGAAAAAGAAAAAAAGGGAAAAAAATGTCTGTGTCTTATGATTAATGCTTACTTTGCCTTGCTTTCTGTCCAAGTAGAACTGGTGCTGACTAATGGCCATGACCCAAATGGTCTTGATTAAAGAATGGCTGGCATACCACGTGTGGATGAGCAGCCCTGTCTGTCCAAAGGTGCGTTTGGTAACTGCTCTCCTGAGCAACGTGCAAAACAAAGGTTGAGAAGCATTTTATTTCTCACAATTTTAGTAAATGCTGCAAAGAGACAGTTTATCTCTATGCCAGCAAGATATTTATTTAAAAAAAGAAAATAAAAAAACAATAGGGCATCTTGTAGAAACTGTTGAGAGGGAGCTCCCTTGCTGCTCACCTGTGGGGGTCATTAACTTCTACGGCAAATTTCTTCTCCCGAAAGTAGAGATTTTCCAGCTGTTTCCACTGGTACAGCTGGAGGTAAAAGATATAAAAAAGGACACTCCGATTAGTAAAGCAAATGCGATTTATAATTTACATGAGTCATTTTGCCACAAAGTTGAAAGTAATTACTTTAACATCGTCTCATTAGTGTTTCAGCCACGTTAAATTTTCATGCATTTCAGTGGTGACACAAGATTAATTTCTCAGCTGGAGGTGGGGGTGGGACGTGGTGCAGGTGTTTTGGCTGCTCATTTTTACCCACAGTCATTAAAAAGCCAGACTCTAACGTGAGCTGTCATTACAGTCTGGGTGTGTTGGAGTGGGAAGAGCCCAACAAACACGAACATGACACGAAGACTCATTACAGCGCATAACCTTTTCCATAGTTCAGCCTGCCAATCCGCCCTATTGGCCAGGTGCTCAACTGGTAACAGCCAGACGTTAACAACCCGTAAGGGTGACAAACAGTCGAAAGAGACAAAAATTCAACACTGTAAAGTGTTGGAAGCAACCAGTCCAATTTAAAGAAATGCTAATGAGAGCAACTACGTTTTACATCTTTATACAAAGATCAAGCATCAGCAATATTCCCTCCAAAGCTTACACCACAAAAGAGAATAATTTCCAGTCTTACCAGTCCAACAGATGTTGAATATAAATCCGTAGAAAGTAATAAGTCCCTCTTGGTTTTGTTGTCGACACAAACACATATTTGACTTTGCCTTCTGTCAGCTCCGGACTTGTCTCTTCAGGTATTCTCTGAACATGCACAAAAACGCCTAAATCCAGCCCCTTTCCTGCCTACATCACTGGCTCACTCCCTCTTCTTGTCTCCAAAAACAAACACCGCGTATGACTTCTTGCACAATTTCAGGATGCACACCAGGCACAGCTGGCATGCATCATGTCGAGCGATTTCAGAACACACCGGAAGACAATGTGAGCAAGGCACGGTTGAGAACATTGGCACACACTGAAACTATTCAATCTGAAAACATTTCTGACTGATCATTCATACGGGTGTTTCTGCTGTTAACTCACAAGTTGCAACAACACTTATGGAACAAGCAAAGCAAGTTTTTACTGCCTGCATCCAAAACTCACAAGCCTCGCCGAAGTGAACAGCCCGATTTCTCTCCCCCTAAAATATTGCTCCTTTCTTTTTTCAAGTCTGGCCTCGTCTGCTGCAGCAGCAGCCAAGCTTTTGCTGAGGTGACAGAGATGATTCATGAACTAAAGGCTGTGAATCACCACACTCCTGTGCAACAGCAGCAATCCCAACCAATATCCCACGCCATCGCTCCGAATGAGGTTAGAGAAGCAGAGAAGAGACTCAGCAACACTTATTTTAGGGGAAATGCTGCAGGGGAGCCAGTTTACCTTTCTGGGTTTTAATTTGTCCTGCAGATCATACTGGCCAATGCCCTTATAGCTGATTCCAAGCCACCAGGGGATCCCTTGTTTATCCTGTGAGGAGAGAGCAGACCTTATGTCATTGACTCCGTTCCAGTTGCAACAGCTGTCATTACCGATTAGTCACATAATTAGACCGACCTTAACCTCGTAGTAATGCACACCATACGTAGGCAGCGATTCCACCAACGTCAAATACCTGGAAGGGAGATTTTTTATTTGAAACCATCACCTGTCTTTTTTCACATCTGTATGTGGTTCACCTTTAAAACGTGCACCACAAAAAGGTTGGAAACCATTCTTAGTTTTGGTGAATTAGTGCAATCTGACAGCGACTGAAGAGGTGATATTGATTTCTATCAGATGATGAGAAAAGGCGTGTTGGGGAGAAGCCGGAATAGGGAAGAGCTAAGGTGGGTGACAGGAAAATGTATGGACTTAGAGCCTAATAAAAATCCCAGTGTAATTACTAGAGTTGATCAAATTAAGGTAAATGCACACTTTGGTTCAATACTTACTGCACAATGGCCTGTCCTCTGGAGACTCCTTTCAGCTGCTTATAATATTCAATCACTCGATCCTCACTGTCAAATCATACAGAAAGCAACAGAATACGATAACGTTTTTTTCTTGGATTTGATTAACTTGAAATATACTGTAGACGACTTTCTTTCTTCATTCATTCAGCTTTAACATCTGATCTTTACAGCACATTATCTGCTCTACAAATGCCAAAGTGCTGGAAACATCTTGGTAGCCGACAACCTGCATTACCTAAAAAACAGTAATCTGGGCAAGACATTTCATAATCATTCCCTGATAACATACCAGTACGCAAGAGATGGGTGTTCCTTGAGTACTTTGGTGGGAAGAGTTGGTAGTTTCTTCAAATCGGCACGAGTGTTTTCGTCACTAAAACAGAAATAAGAAATCAATGTGACCAACTTGGAAGAATAGGCTGCACTCATTAAATCAAGGCTGCCAGATCAATAAAATAAATTTTGTTTGTGTCCTTGCCAGGTATTCGATATATAATATTGAGCATATATTATATACTATAATAACTACTTATCATGATATATTTGCCTCGTCAAAATAAAACTATTACCCTAAACATAGTTTCCACTTCAAACAACTGCAACATTAAATAGACATTCATCCATCAAAGTGATAGATTTTATATTAAGATAGGACCTAATACAGTTTGATTTGATGACCTTATTTAGAATAATAACATGATATAGTGATAAATCTTACTGTAGTCACTAATAAAAAGCCTTAGTAGAATTTGATCCTGTACTAAAATGTTATACATTTAATGAAAATGTCATATTAAATCCCCCAATGAGCAAAAGATTAAAGGAAACCCACCCTTAATTGATGGGTTTAAGTGTTGTTACAAAGTCATGTTACAGTCTACTTGACTCCTAAGAGGGAAAGGTCATTGCAAATCAACAAAGTTGCTCTGGGAACAGTTTCCATTCTGAAAAGAGTGACGCCCTCCAAGATGGGCCTGTGCATAGGGCACATGGCCTCACTGAACTGTTCAGGGCTTGATACAATTGAACACCCACGTGAGATTTTGAATGAACATGTTACTTCACCACTACCACTAAGGGCATATTCTTTGAGTGCATGGTGCATTCTCACTGAGGAGCACCAAAGACTGCCAAATATGTGCTAGAGCAAACTGAAACTCTTAAGTTCAAATGTATTTATTTTCAATGTGTAACCAACTTGTCATTCGAGGAAAAAAAAAATCTTGATTCCACAGATTATTTTGCAACAGCTGGAATTTTCTCTAAATTACTAAAGTACAACATTGTGTATATATATTTCTAAACCACTGCAGCTGTGAGAGCCAGGTGGGAACATGCACAAAGCCCTGCAGTATCTCTTTGAACACAGCAAGCATTGTATTAGCGGTTAAAGAAAGCCAATGGCGGCTGTGTTGGTTGTAAAGGTGTCTCTACTCTGCAGCACTTGGCTCTCATCAGCATTGTGAGATTCATTAGTTGTCTGGTGCAAGCTTCTCAACACTCTGTGCTGAGCTTCACATAGTACCTTTATTGATTTTTGTTGTCTGCACTAGAGAAACAAGTGACCTATTGAATGCCTTCGCTAAGAGCTGGCTATTTAACTGCTGCTGTTAAATACTTCTTACTCTGGACATCGTACCTTGTATAGTCTCCTTTAGCCTCCTGGTGATGAAACATATACACAGTTAGATCATATCGCTTCTCGATGCAGCAAATTTGAATGTATTGGAAATGATGAAAAGCCCAAACCTGCAAAGCATTTGCTGCTAACTTGAAGACATTCTCAGTTTCCACTTCAATAATCCCCTGAAAACCAAGATTGATGAAACATCGTCAAAATAAATATACCCAAAAATGTGTGTTGGTAGAAAAAGCACTTTCCTTAGAATATTCCCCCAGCTGCCCTGCTATAATCTGTGCTTTTTGACAATCTGAACCCTTGAGCTTTTCTGTTTTTTTTCCCTCACACCCTTTGCTTTACATTCCTGTCAGTAGAGTAAGAAAAGTGTGCCCTGAAGCAAATGTCTGCTGGGCTGAGGTGCAGGGTGCAGAGACCGTGAGTCACCGTGCAGCTTCTCGCAAACATAACTATGAGAGGACACAAGGTGTCAAACCCAGGAGATATAAGGAAAAACACTTACATTGTAGACAGCTGATTTTGCATTCAGGTAGAATAACTCCACAGTTACGACGTTCTTCAGCTGAGCTATGTTTTCGACATAAAACCTGGAAAGAATTAAATAAAAATATGCAAATATATATATGTATATACACACACACTGCTTTTGACAGTAAAGGCTCATTGATGTTTGTACTTTACAAACAAACACAGTCCCAATTTGGATTTAGATATTTTTTTTAATAAAAATAACTTTTCAAATAATTTATCATTTGACTGTCAGCAATGCAGTGCTCCCTGCTGGTAAACCAGTGCTGTGCATGACAAAAACCAGTGACTACCTGACTAGGAAGTTGAGAGCAATGGCTCCAGGCTTCTTTGAAAAGTCATGCTCAAGAACTCTGCGGTCCATCTGCAGCCACTTGCACTGACCACTGCGAAAGAAAGTGAAAGCAAAAACATAAAAAATTCTGCAAAACATGCACATCTGTAAAATTTCACACTGCTTTAAAAATGAAATTCGGTGTCCCAATTTACTTACTTGTCATCAAAAAATGCGAGTCCGAAGAATTCTTTCTCTTTTAGGTTGAAGTGGGAGGACACCAAATCGAGGAGCTCGTACGACAGCAACTTCGGCTGTAATGGGAAGATTAATTCATTCAAATCAGACATTTTAGTTCAGGAGGATTTTAGTTTATAAACATCCCCACTTTAATTTTGTCGGTAATTTTCTTGAAGAGTGTGTCAAATGCACTTTTACTCCATTACAGTGTCAGACTGAAAAGTCCCTAAGTACTTGAGTGAGGATACCCTGTTGTGTTCACGAATGTTTTGACAGAGAAACTAGTCCTACTTTAAATTAATCCATATTCTTTTCTCTTTCCATCCAAAAGCAAATTGGAGAAAAACTTTGATGCATCAAACCCACAGAAATGTGTGTCGGGGCATGTTTCAGGCACACCAATGAATGTGTACCTTAAATGTACTCTTTTTAGCTCCTGGGAGAAAAACTCCAAAAGTCACCACGCTAAAATGTGCCGAGGCTGCAGAGGCGGCAGAGAGGAACTGCAAAAGTTCAATTTGGCAACCACCTTAAGGGTTTTTCATTCATAAGTCACATTGTCTTTGCATGGATAGTCTGCGCAGAGTCACGCGTACCTGGACCAGCAGCTCCAGCTTCCTGTCATCCAGCAGCTGCACTTGACACAGTCTGCCCTCAGTCATCTGCAGAGTGGGAAAAGAAGGGGAAGTTCAAAGCTCGTGATATAAACTGACAACTATCATAATCACGGGGGACAATGACATCCGGATATTGTGATTCTTTTTTGCATGTTTCTGCCTGTGTGAAAGTATAAGTACACAATGAGGAAATGACCAGTCACACTGAACCAGAGAGAGGCGTACAGCGTATTGCAGCCATACTTTCCAAATAACATTGCAGTGTTAATGACAATAAACCCATTGTCTCATGGATTTGTTGCCATAGTAACCCAAAGCAGGATTTAAAGTTCCTTAAATCCGGCTATTTTGCTTTTGGTCCCTCAGCTTTCCTGCAGCAGCATTAAAGTTTAGTTTCCTCGGCCGAAGGCTCTTTGCATTTCGTCAACAGCTGTAGTTACGGCTTACCTTGTGACTTACGATTTACAAAGTGATGATAAATGATAGATAGATAGTTCTGAACAACAGCCAAATGTCAAGGGAGCCATAGCTTTGCTTCAGATTCAGATTCAGACTGACCTCCTCATGAATGTAATAACAAATGGTATATGGTTAAGGTAAAATACAATCCCAACTTTTTGCTGGTTTAAGGTGAAATCACCTCTTTGCCCTTTAAAGGGTGCCTTTAGTCTGGAGAAATGTAAGGCTGACAGGCCATGAAACAAAATCATCTGCCATACACCAGATAGATCACACGGTCAGCAAAAATGACAGATCGAGGTTAACCAGTTGCACAAGAGAGAAAAAGCTCCCAGGGTGTAAAAATGTCACCACATAGATCCAGCTCCCTCCTCATCTGACAGAATGAGGCTGACGACGACTTCTTGCGCTTGAAGTGCAGCAAGCAGCTGCCGTACCTGGTAGAGTTCTCCAGGGAGTGTGCAGGTGTGGATGCATCCCTGACCGGCTCTCATCCTTTCCACAGTGTCTCCTCTTGGATCCACACCGCCGTAAAATGGTTTGCTCTGACAGAGCAGCTGCGGCCGATCACCATTAAGCAGTAACTTTTTCCATAGTGGATATTGAGCGAGCAGCCTGGCATTTGCTGCGTGGGGCAGCGGCTTATACAGTGTGAAATCAACAGCTGACCTACAGTAATGAGGCCACGCCGAGCCAGACGCCGGAACACAGTTTAGGGTTTGTTGCATCTTGATACGAGCGATATGGGTCAGACAGAGAAGCACAAGCGGTCAAGCATGTCTAAGTTGTCTGCTGTCACAGTTCAATCCACTTTGAAATGGCCATTGTTTCATCAGTATGTTATGTGGCTGACTTGGTTTAAAAATGGATATGAATTTCATTTACCTTTTCTAAGCATTTTTACTGAGTGATATTCAACATGCAGGTTGAAGTGACAAAGGTAGCTTGTTTGAATCTGTTCTTTTCCAACTCTGAACTTGGAAATTATTTGTAAAAATGTCTTTGCTTCGTAAATGTGGTCCCACTGTCCAATTACATCATGCGGACTGTTTAAACAAGCTTTTTGTAAAATCCAGCTCCCTGAATCATGCATCTGTAGTACTGCCACAGGCACCAATTTCCTTTAGGGAACTAAATGAAAAGTGCACATTCAATAATTCAATCAGATTTGAGTGGCCCTGCATGTGACAATCACAGGACAATGATTACATTGATTTGAACTGGATTTAGTTATGACTGCATTACAGTGGGGTCATGTTATTAATTTCAGTAATAGGATTGACAGCAGTCCTGACTGACATGTACAGTAAAGACTCTGACCACTAGATGGTGCAATGATGACTATTTATTTAAATGAAGAAGTCCTTATGTAGAAAATGGCTTCAAAAGTATTTGCGTTAGTATAAGTATTAAGTAAAATACTATCCCTGCAGATACAGCTGAAGTGAGCGAGGAGCAGGAGGTGTGATTTTTTTCTGAATCCACACCATTAATCATCTGAGAGCTATAATCACTGCACAAATTGCTACTTATGTCTGACAGTGCGGCACAGGAACTATGACCAACTCTGCAGTTTCTTAGTGGTGGCGCACAGAAGAGACTCTCTATTAAACAAAAACTCAGGCATTATTAACGCCCCAATTTCAAACTCGTGGCTACTGAATAACTATGAGGTCAACCATTTAAAACATAAGACCCACAAAGGTATGCATCAGAACTGGTGTAGCTCTCTCTATCAATCGTATACGACACATTCAGGGTTATTAAAGGGTCAGCTTTGGATGATGTGGGTTACAATGAGTACTTGCACTTCATGTAAAAAAAAAAAAAAAAAAAAGAAAGAAAGAAGGCACATAGGAGGGGGATAAAAGAACTGTCTGTGTTTTTGTTTGTCTCCCCAGAGACAGGATAGGCTGAGCCTTGCACTGGAGGGTGCATGTCTGGCTCTTCTGGCCTCAGGTTTTTATAGAGATAGATAGTTCTAGGTTTAAAATTTTACAATGAAATATCCCTATGGAGCTTCAAAAAGGGTGCGGATGCGGCCTCTGTGAGCTCTTTTTTGGATATAATCTGACAATATAAATAGATGTAAATCCTCCAGATGATGTACAGAAATATAATCATACCATGGGAAATGTCAACCTTAAGGGGTGAACAATGGGCTAACAGCAGAATCTCTCTCTTTCTCCAGAGTAAACTGGCTGTCAGGTAATAATACGTCACACTGGTTAAATGTCATGTCCAGACTGCAGCCTGTCTTATCTCAGTTTCCCGTTTTCATGCATTATTGATGAAGGCTGGTATCAAACACAACTCTATGTGTGCTCTCTGTGCTTACATGCTCTTTTCCAGATACTAGGTGCTGTCATGAAACATTTGTCCAACTATTTTACATATTCTTCAAATGTGCTAGATTTTCGGGTGGCAAAAAAATAATTCAAAGCAAACCTAAAAATCTTATTATGTATGAGGTGGTGGACAGATAAACGGGATGTCTCATCCAAAACAATGTGCTGGTGGAGGGAAATATACAACAATGTGTTCTGTGTTTTTAGAACATGATATCCAACAGATACAGAATAATCCTTTGTGATGTACAATCTGAAAATTTAATCTCTTGACTAACAGAACACCCTGCACAGTTGATTTTTGTTTTTTATTTTACACATAGAAATCAGAAGAGTTTTTGGGGGGATTGGGGTGGAGCACTACTGCATTTGTGAAAAAAGTGACGTGAGGCCATTCGATAAATAGGTTAAACTGATGCCATGTAATCGTTTTCTGTCCTTGTCGGTCAGCAGTTAGGCCCTAAACTCTAGTGGATTTCTAGGCAACGGTATTGAGTTTGTATGAATCAAACAACAGCAACTGATAACTGCAGCTACTGCTTGTCACAGCAGTTACATCACCTTCTGGAAAAAATATACATGCAAAGAGAAGCAATGACTTCTTCTGATATGACCGCAAAACATTAAAAGATTGGAGTTTTGTTAGGTAGCAAACATGAATCTGTGCACAGCTAAAGCACTGCATATAATGACCAAGACCCAATTATACTGCTAGCATGAGTGGCCTGATGCAGTCTGACATTGCAACCCCAAAGATCTGTTGACATGGTGTGTTAAGTCAGATCTTAAAGCTGACAATGAGATGTGATACAACATGACAGATCTGCTAATAAACAGTTGTGGAGGTGGCAGACATTCTTGATTTTTAGTTCAAGGCTGCTAGTGTTTCTCAACATTGGGGAAGTGCTTAAATGAAACTTTCCTTTGGGAGTTCAAATTGGGGTAACTGGGGAAGTGTCAGTCAGGCTATCAGGAAGCTGCAGCATCACTGTAGGTTACATACAGTATATTCTTTAACAAGTAACTGTAATGTCACTAATAGTTGTGAATTATCCAACCACATAGATTGTCAATGTCAAGGGTTGCATTGAATTTGTTCATCCCATTCTTTCTCAATCCATCAGAAACACTTAATCTCGATGAATCACATGGAAATTGCTGCTCCCAGAAGTAGGTTTTGTCCTGTTTAATGCTCATCTAAACCCAGGTGGTTGTTATCCTGCAGCTCAACTTACCTATGAGATCGGAGATTTGCTGATCTAAAATCAGGGCCAGTTCATTACAACCTGAGCAACTAAAACGATAAAAATACCCCAACGGTTGGGATAACCCAGAATGAGAAAATATGCATAGCAGGCAAACAATTGCCTCTTGCTGTTGGTCAATCACCTTCCTCTGAGGGCAATGTGTGCACAGAAATGACTTTATCATGTTGAAACTAATGACTGGGAAGTCAAGGCATATGCTTATGAGTAACCAGGAAATAAGGAAACTAATTTCTTTTAAATGACCATGAAATACAGAGAAATTATGTTAGGACTTCAATGTAAATTGACAGAAGTTTGTTAAAACAAAGAAGTTAGTTGGAGTAAGTGGGGTTCTGAAGTCACAAAAGGGGAAAAAATCATGGGTTTTGGAGTTTGAGACCAGTGAAGTTAGCAGACTTTTGCAGATTGTTTCTCATCTGTAGGCAGATTCATGCAAACTACACCAAAAACTCTGAGTAATAGAGATAAGAAGTAATAAGGAGTTAAAGAGGACAAAGAATGCATAAACAGTTTCACTTTTGCATCTGCTGTATTGATTTACATAATTTGCCTTGGTGTTAAGAGGGCTTTAAATTAAATGAATGCTGTTGAAGGAAAAAAACAGAGTGGTTAATTATTAATTCTAATAATAAGATAACTGCCAAAGTAAAATCCCCTCAATTGATAACTGACTAACATTTGCATAGGCCCCAAATAATAAGCCCACCACCTAAAATGCTTTAAGAAAAAGAGGAATCTAAGCCTAGAGCAAGGAGCCATGGTTACAGCAGCAGAGAGCTGAAGGATTATCTCCTCATCTCAAGTCTCATCATGACTCATGCTGTCAGCGGTCAAAAGGTATCTGTCTGCCGTCATCTCGCAAAGACAAGCCGTCTGGCTGTTTGTTATATCCGGGAAATTCATGAACACAATGAGGCTCGGGATATTATAAAATGATCTCCACCTTGCGCTATTTCGTTTTATTTTATATCACAGAATAGCAGCATGGACCTGCACAAAAACAAAACTGGCCTTTTAGCAGGCATTATCGAATTTCAGCATGCTTGTATGATAGCGCAGTGTGAAACATTGGTAGGTGATCGGTCAAAACACAAAGTGTATTCAGATGCATCATAAATACAAAACAATTCAATAAATAAACGCACAAACAATGTAACTTTAAACAATCTTTATCAGCTTCTAGTCCGTTATATCTCCCATTCTGTCTTGGATGGAAGCAAAACTGTGAAAAATTGTGAAATCACGACTGATTGTGAGTATTTGAATGTGTAATCAAGCTAGACATAAACAGGAATCAACCAGAGATCATAAAGCTGTACAGCATGTGTCCAAAAGGAAAAGGGGGTCATTTGAATTTGAATGTGCTCACCCAGTGAACTTCATAGTAATGTTTCTGTTATATTTTGACCTGATATGGACGCGATAAGAAAGATCACAAGGCACACACATTTACGCTCATCAACCAAGGCCATTGTGAGCCAGCCAGGCCTATAAGGTCAAGCTGTTAAGTGACCGGCTGGAAATCACCAACTCACACTGGATGTAAGGACTCTCATTCCCACATGAACAGAGTGATATTGAATGTGACAAAAAGCTGGCATGCCACAGCTGAAGGGGTGACCTAGTTGGTGAGACCAAGACCAATATTCTCATCTTATCTTTTCACTGGTAAAAGGCGATTTTTAACAAATCAGAAGGAATGTTTAATGTGAGCTGAGTCATACAAATCGTGTCCTCAGAAGACAAAATAATCCAAAGGTTGATCTGGGTTCATACAGCATGAGGCAGTAGGGGAAATATATCTGCCTCCATCGCTTTCAATGCAGTACCTGAATGCAGGGGTAAAGTGCCAGGAAAGCACATATCAGAGCACAGAACAGCGAGGAAACAAATATTAAATGAAAAGCAGCGCATGCTTTCGGTTTTCTCAGCACTATGCCACGTTTTGCTTCATTCTTACAATTTAAAAAATGTCCCCAGTGATAATGCCGATATCACAAACTGCAGAGTTTCATTACCAAAAGTACTGCAGTGACTTTCTGCAGAGCTCAGGGACACAGCACTGAGGCATGGATGAGTGGGAAAATGGAACATGACTAAATCACATGATACAGATGGAGAATAAGGGTGCCTGGAACCACATGAGCGCTTCACTTCAGCATGCTCACATGTCATCATTTTATCTATTGACTTTCATTTCTCTGCAAGCATATCCATGACCCCCATGACAATTGTGAAATCATTGATGAATCCATCAGAATCGATCATTTCCCAGACAGCTTGATTTGAATATAGAAAAATCCTGAACACAAATCCCCACCTGCTAACCAGTTCCATCCCCTCTTTACTGCTCGGATATAAGATTTCACCTTATGTATTTATCAGATTTACCATGCCTCTAAAGTATGTGAATATGAGATTACTTGGTCAACCAAAAATAGATCTCCTCTTCTCTGTCTTCAGCCCATTTCTCAGAAAGTCTGAGGAGGCTTTGATTCCTGAATTCATGCTTTCCAACTGAGTGGTGAGACATTTCTTAGTAACATCAAACAGATATCGCTTCCGGGACTGCCTGAAAACTGACAGAAAATTAGAAATGTTCAGGCCTTTTTTGGGCTGAGAGTAAGTCTTTGCCATTTGATTAGGAAACCTGCTTAAACTAAAAGATAAACTGTCACCAAGTCTACTACCATTCAAGCAGTTTGTCAGAAATGCATGGAAATTCAACTGTGGTGATAAATGACACAGGACATCCTCTCCAACAGAGAGGAAGAATGAAGTTTTGTGCTTGACATGTGCTGTATGGACTCAGCCAACACAACGATTCCTGTTTACACTGCCGGATGCTTTAAATACATTTTCTCTTGAGTTTCTTCCTTCAGCTCTGAGAGAAGAGCAGCAGGTCAATGTCAACCTCAGCTGCGCTCATCCAGTCTGGTCTTCATTTCTTAAGTAAAAAAAAATAGAAATGAAGAACCTGTAATAAATCTACATCTAAAATGCAAGAAGACAAACACAGATGAGAAGAAGGTTGAGATAGCCTGCTAACAGCAAACCTGTTGTAACAGGTCTTTAGCACTTGCAAACCTGACTGAAATGATAGTCCACAACTGAAATAAATAAATAATGAATTAAATTAAAAACTCACTTTGGTAGCCGCAGATGTCAGCACAGTAGCAATATTTTAAAGCACCACAAAGGGTTAAATAATGATTCACTCAGCATTTTCATTTTCACCCAGACACCCTTCCTAAATCTAATTTTAATACTGCATGACTCATTCGGTTCAGTTTGACTAAAGCACATCCTTTAGACATAAAAATACAACCAGAAATGTCTCAAAACACCTGCTCTTTCAGATCCCTGTGCAGAGACGGACACACAAGGGCCAGTGTGTGGGGAGAACAATGAGAGTGCTACTGTAGGTTACTGTACATGGGTGGTTTCCACCTGAGCCCCATCCCTGCACAGATGTCTTAAACAAAACCTTTCTCCTCCTTGTTTCCCAAAGGAAACACACGGTGCTACAAGCCGAACCCTTGCAGTTCTAGTCCTCAGTGATGCTCTCCCCTCAGATCACATGGATGCATGACTGGTTAGACTTTGTCTCCTCGCGGCTCTAAGGCGGGTCGAATGAGCCCATGCCACATCACTTGCTAATGCCTTACCTTTGCGCTCCTGATGTCCTGCTTTAGGTGTTAATAAGATCGGGTCCTCCCTGCATATTGATCGGCGCCGTTCAGCTTTGTCCACGACCGCTTTTGGCACGGAAGAGAGCCGCCGCCAACCCGCTGCCCTGCATGCTCATCCCCCGGTACTATACCACAACACACACACACACACTCGCTCGTATGGAACCAAACTCACCACGCCTTCACCCGCCGCCGGCTATTATCTGAACAAGCCCCGCAACCCCTCCCTCCGCTGCTCCCTGCCTCCCTCACTCCCTCCATCCCTCCCTCCCCCCCTCCGTCTCATCCAGCAGCTGCCGGCCGGCCTGCTTCACACTGGATCCCCATAATAATGAAGTGGAATGGCTTGAAGGTGGTGTCTGCTGCATGCTCGGTCCAGGGATTATTTATTTATTTATTTATTTATTTATTTATTTATTTATTTATTTA